ACTGTTGAATGAACCAAGCTCTTTCCCACCTCTGGGCTTTCCCACATACTGTTTCCACTCCCTGGAACACTTGCCCTCTCCCTCCACTCTCCACTTGACAAATATCCCTCAGTTGAAAAATTACTGCCCTGGAGAAGCATCCCTATTCACCACTCCCCTTCTGAATGACAGCTCCCCTCATTAAATATCTCTTTGGCATCCTGCATTTTGTTTTCTCTTTATGGCACTTATTACTTATTTGCAAGTTCGTTTAACATTAGTCTCCCTTACTAGGCTGTAAGTCAGGGCCAGGGGCTGTGTCTGCTGTGTTCTTTGTTGTGTCCCCAGCGAGCGGGTTGGCCGAATTACATTCCAGCTTTCTGTATCTCTTTATTTCTTATTTCTTCCTTTTCTTCATTTCCAAGTTGACCTAAATTTTTTGCACCGTTTCTTAGGTTAATTGAATATCCAAAAATCAGGGTCTAACTGGAAAGGCAGCTCAAGAAGTAAGGGTGCTGACCCCTCATTACACAACATTAGCAACTGGGACAGCACAAATGATCCAGCTAATCCTAGCTACCTGAGCAGGCCTGGCCCCCACAGCCTACAGGGCAGAGGCCTGCTGGCCAAGCAGCAGCCCCTCCAGAGACAGAAGCTTAACAACTTCTACCACTTTCCCCAAGTTTGCTGAAGATCGATCTTTCAGGACTGGCTGGATGGCAAATCCCAAACCAGCCCCCTACAGATTTCGGGATCCCTCTTTTTCCGCATCCCGGGGCTCCCCATCCTCTCAGAGTCATTTATTTGCGTACACCAGACTCAAAGGAAGCAAGAGCAACATGGCTGATTTGCATACTCTCGTGCTATTGGTTGGAAGGGCGGCCAATGGCTTGCAGCGGTGTTTGCCCCGCAACCGCTCAACACCGCCGGGTGACGTAATGGAAACCTGGCTGGACCCCGTGCGGGCTCCCTTCGGTCAGCCTCGTGACGTAGCGGCTTCCCCAGGCCCCAGCCGGTGCAGTCCGGCTTGGTGCGAGCCAGTGTGGCCACCCCCGGGAGCGCGGCGTGGGGCACGGCCGAGGCCGCGGCGCTGCAGCGGGGCCCGGCCCTGTTCCTTCCGGCCCGGCGTTCCCGTCCCGGCCCCTTGGTTAGGCCCGCCGCTCCAGATCGGATCTCTGGCGGCATGGAGAGAAATCTGGAAGCAGACACCAGAGAATTACCAAATTCGACTCCTCTGGGAGTGGATTACGGCTGCCTCTCAGTTCGTAAATCACGCGGTTCTGTAACGTTTTGCGTTTCCTTACAACGAGCGTGTTTGATTCTGTAATTTAAAAAAATAGTTACAGAGGATTTCTGTTATTATTAAAGAGTCTGGCTTGGAGCTGGGGGAAATCTTGGCATTAATTGCAGCCCTGTCACTTCCAACCTGATGACTTGTACCACTTTTTCGTGCTGGCCCTGAAGGCCTTCCAGGGCCACCAGGGAAGAGCAAATGTGGAGGCACTTCAGAAAAGCCCCCAGTTGGGCCTCCTCATCCTTAGGTAATTCAGAGCATATAACCCCGCCCGGCGTGTCCCTGGAAGGTCCCAATCCCTGGGAAAGCCCCAGGAAGGCCTTGTTTCCCCCCTCTTTGTTTTCCCCCCTTTAATTGCTCCTAAATCTGGGGAGGGATTGGGGGACCCCAGCCATGTATTTCTCAATCCTCAAGATGGGGAAGGGAACCTCAAAGGGAATCCCCTCCATAGCGCTCTCCTCATTGAGGGCCAGGGCATGGGCAGGGGAGCCCCTTCTGGGCTCAAATGGGTGGGGGCACCCCCTTGACATCCTTTTACCATGCCCCCACTGGGCCAGGATGGAGGTGGGGTGGAATGGAGTCTCCCTAACTGCATGAAGTTAGATCAAGGGTTTCTGTTTCAGTGCCATGGAGGGGCATGAAGAAGAACACTAAGGGTCTGGCTGATTGTCCTGGGTCCTGGGGCTTAACCACTCACTGGATCTCAACCCTGCCCCCACCTCATCCCTATGAGCTTTGAGGTCAGCCTTTCTCCTCCATGTGATACTCTCCCTTCTCTCTGCCTTGCCTGGTCCTATCTACCTTCATACTGTGCACTATGTTCTCTTCCTCCAGGGAGGCCTCTCAGATTAACTCTCCAGATTCCACCCCAATGTCCGCTCAAGGCCTCTTGGAGCTGCCTCTTGGATCTTCTGGCAATGTTTTCATGACTACTCTGTAAGTCTTGCCTTTCATGAGATTAGGAACTAGCTTTCTGTGGCAAGAGCTTGTCCTCTCTTAGGAATTTTCCAGAATGTGGGACTGCACTGGCCAGGATGTCTGTTTTCCCCTCTAGTCCTAGCTCCTGAGCCATGCTAGTAGTTGACCTTTTCTCTCCTCAGTTTTCCCATCTGCAATAGAGGCTATGTGGTAGTTCCTCGAATTTGTACAGAAAGAGGAGGGACAAAGGTATGAAGGAACAAGATCGTGGGAGTCAGAAGTCCTGGACTTGGCCACTGACTAGCTGAGTGACTTGGGTCAAGAAGACAACAAGGGAGCTGAAATTTAACAGACAGTTGTAATGACACTAAGAGATGACATTGCCCCTATCATCTGTGCCGCTCCTCAAGCCCCCAAATAAATATACCAGCTGGGCAAGCCAGGTAAGTGCTTTGCATATATAGCTTCCAGACAAGTGCCCCAGCTTAGCCTTCCCCCAAGTCCTCCTTTATAGAAATGGTAGGTCTGCTATTATGTGCCAGACTCCTTCCTGCATGCTTTATCTCTACCATCAAAGATGCACTCTTTGTGATAACCCTGTGAGATGGGTATGTTATCATCCTGTGTTTCAAATGAAGAAACAGAAGCACAGAGAAGGTGAATAACTTCCCTGAAGTCACACAGTTGGTAATAGTGGAACTAATGTCAATCCCAGGCCTCTTGGGGTCTATGATCCTTTTACCACCTCACACTGCCGTCATGAATCACACAGGTGTGTTTTAGCATTACATATTTTAAGAAATATTTTATTTGATTATAAAACATGAGAGTATATAATAAAGCCAAGTTGTGCTAAAGTATTTATAGAAGAGAGAGACCTCTGTGGGCTGGAAGCCTTCATGGAAAAACTGGTAACTGAGCCTTTAAAAAAAAATCCTTCCTGTCCAAATAAATGTATTTCTCCTACACAGGCAAATATTTTTAAAATGTATTTCAAAAGTTAGATTTCTGGAAAAAGAAAAAGTGGGGGTAGTGGCTTCTTTAAAAAGCCCATTTGGAAGGAACTCCTGGGGTAGGAAGAAGAGGAGGGTAACGGGGAGGAAAAAGCCAGTCCATGGCTCCGCCTCCATGCCATTTTTGAAGCCTCAATTTCTTTGTCTCTATTTTGGCCTAATCCTTGAATCTGGAAGAGAAATATGAAGGTCCTGAGAGGTGATTTTGAGACAAACCAGATTCTTGGGATCATTATGAAGAACCAGAGAAAGGGGCTTCTGAGTTGCCGCAGGAGTTTAGGAAAGGTCCAAAAAAAAGGATTTCTGGGGGTGGGCAGGGGGTGGGGAGAGGAATGTGGCCCCTGGAATGAGGGCTGAGTTGGGGTTGTGGGGCCTCATTTTGAGAGTTTTGAATACAGAGATTCTTTGCTGCGTGGGGCCTGCTGGGGATTGGATGACATACTCATAATTTAAGGTGGCTCCCAAAATGAGCAGGCGCTGGTGGCTGGTGTAGCAGAGCACAGGACTGGGTCCTGCTGAATGGGTGTTCCCAACCGGCCCTGCCTGCCTGGCAGTATAGGAGCAGACATGGTAACCCCAACCCCAGCCACCCCACTGCTCCAGCCTTGGCCTGGCCTTCCTGAACTAGCCACTAAGTGGGTGGTTGCTGGGGGGAAATGATTTGCTCAGAACAAGATGGTTCTTCCATTTCCAAAGAGTGTTCCAATCAGGTGGCAGAGAGAAACCTTCCAAGCACTCCCATCCCCAGAAGGTTCTTACTGGGAAGGCCTGTGCTTGGATACCATGTTCAGAAGAGGGTGGGTTACTCAGGGCTTCCTGGCCACTGGGGTGAGCCTCTGGGTATTTCTTGTGCTAAGCGCTCCTTGGGATTGGGGAAGTCAGACTCCAAGAGGAGAGCAAGGAGGAGAGAGTATGAGTGCCTACTGTGTACAAGCCACCTCCACAGCTGTTCAGTTCTCCCAAAAACCAGAAAAGGTGGGTAACATCACCCCCTTTTTATAGGTATGGAAACAGGCTGAGTGGTGAAGTGAATTGCCCTAGGTCATACAGTAGTATGGGAACAGCCAGATCAATGAATCCAACTCCCAGGCCGTGTCCCTGTCTGTACTCCCCTCTGGGATTGCTTCTCTTCAGGAGAAATGCCACCCTTCCAAAGTCCTCTTCTATCAGAAGGGGCCTTCTGGCTGATTGTCCTGGGCCCTGGGGTTTAACCACCCCCAGGACACCCTGCTAGTTGGGTTCCTTGCCCTTGGGGTGGCATGCAGGCCAAGAGATGCTGGTGGGCTCAGAGGGCTGATTCCTTGTTCTCTCAGCCTAATTGCTGTGTGACTTTGGGCTGCTGCAGAGCCTCTCTGGGCCTCACTTTTTCCACCTCTTTTTCAGGGGAAACCCCGGGTAAATTTATAACTCAGCTCCAGGTTTGCTGCCTCGGAAGGTGTTAGCAAGGCCACAGAACCCTCACTTGAAAAACAGCACCCCCAGCCCAGCCGCAGCGGGGCAGATTATGTAACCGGGTGCTCAGCGCGAGTGTTGGGGGTGGGGGGGTAAGGGCGCAGGGCGGGGCGCTCACGGCTATTCCGGGCGCCGCTATTTTTAGCCCCATTGATGAGGCTGCGTCGGCCGCCGCCGCCGGGATTCCGGAGACGTCAATGGGTGCACGTCACGGTCCCTGCCCGCCCGCCTGCCGGGGGAGGCGCGCCCGGAGCTGGGACAGAGGCGCGGGCGGCCGCGGGCCGCGGGGGCGGGGGGCGCGGCAGCGGCCGGAACTGCTAGGTGGGGGGCTTCCCCGGGGCGAGGGGCGCGGCGGCGCGGCTGCGGGAGCGTGAGGCTGCGGTAGCGGAACTGGTGGGGGTCCCTCGCGGCTCCCGCGACCACCGGCCTCCAGGCATGGTAGCCTCTGAGGTGCGGAGCTGCTTCCCCGCCGGCTGGTGCTCTAGCTGGGAAGGCGGGGGTGGAGAGGCGAGCCACGCTCGCCCGGCCAGGTGAGCAGGCCGGGTGTGGCAGGGCGAGGTGGTCCAGGAGAGGTCCGGTAAGAAGAGGATCTTGCGGATGCACTGGGGTGAGCTGGGGCCACGCCGGGAATCCTGCTCCGAAGTCGGGCAGCGTGGGGGAAGGGACTGGATTCCCAGCGAAACCTGCTAGCTCCGAGTCAACCCCCAAGTGCGTCGGCCAACGCTTTCTCTAACCAGCCCGCCAAGGGTGGGGTTTGGCCCGCGAGGGGCGTTGGAGGTGGTTAGGCCGGAGAAATTCCTTCCATTTCCCTGCCGGCTGCGGGGAACGGGTTCCAGGAGTTGGGGAGCTTGGCTGCCAGGACGCTGAGCCGCGAGGGACCAGGATTCCCCTGTGCAATCCTTTCGGGGACTGAGTTGGGAAACCGAAGCCGGGGAGGGTCTCATGGAGCCAGGAGCGGACCTGAGATTAGAAATGTTACAAAGGTGGCATTTACAGTGCTTTACAGTGATGTATCAGTTTGGGTTTGGGGCTAGTATGTAGGGGCATGCTGGGAAAACGAAGGCCGGGCAGAAATCTATGGGTTCACAACAGTTCTGCCCAAAGGATGCTCATAGATTAGAAGGCTGACAGCCTGCACAGCGGGTGCGCCCCGGTGGTGGCCACAAGGCGTGGTCCTAGACCCACTCCAAGTGAATGGTTAGGTCAGTGACTTGGAGGAAGACTTAAAAGGGAAGCCAGCTGAATCTTTGTAGTGATCTAGAGCTGAGAGGAATGACAAGTGTACACTAGGATAAAAATCAAGAAGATTCCAAATGATGGCAGCTGGGCAGAAGGATGGACCAAGACTAACAAGATAAATGTGACTGATTATAAACGTTGAGGCCTGTGCTGGAGTTAAGAAAATTAGGTCAGGAGTTCAGGCCTAGAGCCTGGTTCAGAGGCCCAGCAACCCAGGCCTGGGAGCTTCCCACTTGCTCTCTGGTGTTGGCTGTCAAACTGCTCTGTGCGATCTGAGATCTCTATCCACTAAACAGGTCCAAGGGGGAAAGCAGAATGTCCTGGGCTCCCTAGTTGGGCTCCCTGGGTTCTAATCCCAGCTTTGCCACTTCCTAGCTGTGTGACCTTGGGCAAGGTGCTTAACATTTCTGTGCCTTAGTTTCCTCACTGGTACAATATTCATAATAATAATAATAATAATAATAATCCCTTCCTCGTAGTGTTGTGAGGCTGAAATGAGAAAATGCCTGTAAAGTGCTTTATAATGTATCTAGCACATGGCATTCAACATATATTTGCTGCTGTTGTTCTTTATAATAACATGCCCATTTCTGGGTGGCGATTTTGGCTAATGCAGAGTTTATGCCTAGGAAGCCCGCAGGGCTGCACGAGGACCTGTCAGTAATGTCCTGTTGCAAGGAGGGGTTTAATTAAGAAAAGACCCAAATACTTTAGGAAAGAGAAAAGGGCTTTGGGTAGGCCCATGCAGAGCTGGGACTTAGGGCTGGGGGCTCTTGGAGGTCAGGGTTGTGACTCAGCATAGGGAAGAACCTTCAGACTTTTAATCTGCCCCCAAATGGAAGGGACAGCTCCTTAGCTGCAATATCCTTCTAAGCTCCCAGCTCTGTTCCAATGCAGGCATGCAAGAGTCCTTCCCCCCGCCCCACCATTCCACAAATACTTATTAAGCACCTACTAGTGCTGAGCTGTTTTAGAGACTGAAGACTGCATTGATTGAAAGAGACAAGTGAACAAATGAGCAGCAGCAGTCCTGTGGAGATAACAAAAACAGGTTAATGTGGTGGGGTCGGGTAGAGGCTCTCTGAGGAAATGAGAATGGAAACCTGATTGATGAGGAGGAGATAACTATACAGACATCCAGGGCAATGATTTCCTGGCAGAGGGAACAACCAGGGCAAGGGCCCTGAGTGGGCAAAGAAAAGCCCATGTGGTTGGAGCACAGTGAGGAGAGGGAGCAGGAGGTAGGTACTGATGTCTGGCCTGATGCTGCCACCTCATTTGGGGGGCATCACTTTCTCCTCCTCCAAGGCCACTTAGCCTTTGGTTTGCCCTCTGCACACTGCTGATTGCAGCTGATCTTGATTCATTCCCCAGTGTAACCTCCTGGGGCCCAGGGATCTTGGTTTGCTTCTTCCTGGGTCTCCCAACATTCATGGCTAACTGCCCAGCTCACAGTAGGCCCCCAGGAAATGCTTGTAGAATGACTGTAGAGGACGGGATTTTGATCTAGGACAGGAGAGGGGATCAGGTACCTGCTCTAAGATGTTAGGAATCACTTTCTGGGCACCACTGTGTCCCTGACTCTGGCCCCAGACAGGTGGGGACTACCTGGGCACTCAAGTTGGGCCTGACCAGTAGAAGGTGTTTGGCCCGCCCGACCAGTCCTTCTCAGCTGTGGGCTAGTAGGGAGAAAAGGGAAGTGGTGGGGGGCAGGGTGTGGGGGTGGGGGAGGCTAAGGCCTGACAGCAGACCTGTTCTGGAGTATGGGGAGATGACAGTGTCATTCTGGGAAGCAGGTGTAGCCTATGGGCTAGGGCAGGTGTGACGCCTGATTTTGCCTTCTCTTTGGGGTTGGAAGTCCCCCAGATGTTGCACACGGCTCTCCCCTCCTCTCCTGTGGCCTTCCGTCCCTGCTCCCGGTACACCCACAGGAACAAGAGGGTGCTGGTAGCTCTGTATGAGGAAAATCTGTGTAGCATGGGCCAGAGGAGTTCCCCTTCTCTGCGTACCCTGGGGCAGAGGTCAGGAGGGCAAGGAATCCCATCACCCACCCTTTGGGGCCCTCTTCCTTCTTACCCCCTCTGCCTCCCATCATGGAAACATCTACTTCTCTTTTCTCAGGCCTCATCACTGCCTGAGAGGCAGCCTCGTAACCAGAGCATGCCAACCCTTGGCTGCCCCTGCCCTCACTCTGGGGCCCAGTCGAGAGAGGAGAGGCCAGAATAAAGGTGGGAAAAGGGAAGGAGAGATGCGGGGTCTGCGGTGCCTTGGCTGCAGGGGGCTTTGGCACCAGTGGGGTCAACGGAGAGAGCCTGAAGAGGCTGGAGGGTTGTGCACGCAGTTGGCTCACAGAAGGAGAGGCCAGGTGCCCAGAAGTGGCTTGGAATAGGGACCAGGGTCTGGGGTTAGCTTTTACATGTTCACATTTAATTTCTCCTTGTAATGATATCACATATGTGTATCCAGCACTGTTCTAAGTCCTTTGTACGTATTAACTCATTCTAAGCCTGATGATAACTCTATGGTTGTTCATTTTAGAGGTGCCAATTACAGATTGCCATTTTTACAGAAGAAGAACGTGAGGCACAGAGAGGTTATGTAACTTGCCCAAGCTTACAAGTGATGGAGCCAGGATTTGAACCCAGGCAGACTGGGGCCTCGCAACCTGCTCTTCACTGCTCTAAGCTGGGCCTTCCTGTTTCGGGGCTGGAGTCTCTTCACAGAAGATTCCTGAGAGACCCCATTGCTCTGATTAGAAGGCTAGGCTGCCTGGAGATGGAGACATGGAGCCCCTGCTCTGTGGGGCCTCTGAGGCTTTGGGGGCTGAGTTGGAGCCCCCTGAGGAGAGAATGGTATTCTACTCTGTCTTCACAATAGGTCCTTTTTCTCTGCTTACAAAATGCCCTTTTGTGCACATCAGGGGGCTGAGAACTGGACTGAAGCACCTTCACCCCAGAGTTGGGTATAAGGCTGAGGGGCTGGGTTTGCTATTTGTCTCCATGGCCCTGAGACGCCCCAGATGCTGTCAGCAGCTCCCACCCACACCCCACATCCCTGAGCTATTTGCCTGGGTCATGGGCCTTCGGGCTCTGACGCCCAGCGAGGGAGGTCCTAGGGCTGGCTTGTCCCCGCTGCCGTGTGGCCTGTGTCCTGCCCCTGTTCCCACAGCTGTGTTTACTGGCTGTGCTGTCTCTAAGGAATGTCCCTGCTGACTGGCTTCTCCTCACTCACATTGATTCCCCTTGTAGGCCTCCACCATGGACAGAGGCCAGCCCTGTCCCCTCCCTGGTGTCCCAGCTCCTTCTGCCAGGCCCTGAAGCCCCAGAGGATGGTGTGACTGTTGTCCAAGGCCTGTCCGTCCATCCAGAGTGGTAAGTGCTCTGCTGTTGTCCTTTGTACACCCCTGAGGCCCTCCCCCAAGCAGATGAGGTTAGGGGGCAGAGGTGGGTGTGGAGCTGCCTGTAGCGGATGTGGTTTGGGGGATGGAGGGGGAAGCCCTGAAGTAGTGGCTGGCAAGGTGCTGCTTGGCGTGGGATAATGCGGGGGCGGGAAGGGAAAGCCTCGTTTTCTTAGCAGGACAGTTGCAGGGGGGTGCCCTGGGCCCAGGTGACATGGGTTGAGAGGGGTGGTGAGAGTGGGGGGTGGGGAGGGTGACAGCTGCTCCCAAGGCAGCATGTGCTTAGTTCCAGGAAGCTGATGGGGTGGGGTTGGGTAGCTCAAGGCCAGACTGGGAGTATAATGGGGCAGACATGGGGGGTGGGAAGCTGGCTTGTTTCTAGGGTATAGACGCTACACCAGGAGAGTGCATGAAGAAGACTGGGACTGCCCCATCCCTCCCTGAAAGGGTGCTGACCACGCCCTCCCCACTATGGCAGGCCTGAAGGTCCTGTGGGGTCTGGTATGGAGAGGTGCCCCTGTGAATGGGGAGGATCTTGCTGACTAAGGGCAGGGACAGACCTTCCACTATCCATCCAGCATCCCTGAGAGGGAGCATCTTAGACTTGTGGGCCAGAGGAGTCCTTGGCCATGTAGCTCACCTCCTCCCCTTACGGATGAAGAAACTGAGTTATGGAGGGGAGCAGTGACTTTTCAAGGCCCTACCGTGAGGGCATGTAGAGCCAAGCTTAGAATCCAGGTGGATTCTGGGCAAGCCCAGAGGCCTGGTCCGCTGGTGGAGGACACACCTTCTTGTCTGAGCGTGCTTCCAGAGAAGGCATGAGCTGATCTGCGGGTGAGCAATGGGGTGTGGGAATGGGACTTCCACCAGGCCTTTCCCTGGGGACCGGAGATACTGGGATGGAGCCAAAGACACCATCGTCCTGGGTACTGTGTTTACCTGAGGGAACTGGAGTTCAGTCTGGCACCCTGGACAGGGACCCTGTGATTCCCTTCTTCCGTCCCCACAACGGAGGGAGCAGTCACTCTCCTTAGGCCTTGAGGGATCCTGGTGGGAGCAGGAGGAGCTGGCTCAGTATCTCCCCTGGTCCCCTAAACACTGTTGTCTCCTGGGAAGTTGGTGTTCAGCGTGCAGAGAGTCCCAGCGAGGTAGCTGGGATGAGGAGGATGGGGTGTCCAGTTTGAGCCTGGATAGCAGGAGGGGAGGTCCTGGGAAGCAGGGCCTCCTGTTGCAGAGGCTGGGCTGGGTGTGCACCTGGCCTCCTGCTGGCATCAGGCTCTGTGCTGCCAACCTTGGGCTGGGGACAGGGAGAGGAATTACTGTAAGTAGGAGAGGCAGGTGTCCCTGGTCAGCTGGAGATCATGACTTGGGAAGCACATGAGTGAAGATGACAGCAGTGGGCCAGGTGTCTTTCCCTCCACTTGGCCCCCACCTCTATCCTCAGCTCAGACTCAGCCTCCTGAGCACTCAGCCTTCCCTCTGGGTATAGAGCAGCCCCCATGGCAGAATTCCTTGTGTTCGCCTTGTTGTCTGGGTAATGGTGGTGATTGGATGGAACTCTCATGCCATTCACACTGCCAAGGCCACCCTGAGGGGCTGCCAGCTGGGGCCCCATGAGTGCTAGAGCTGCTGGTCTTGTGACGTGGACACCTGTCTGCCAGGCCTGGGCATGGGCCCAGGGTCACGCTCACACCGGGGCTCCCGTCAGTTGACTATTTTGGGCTCTTGCTGACCTGGGCCAAAGTCAGGCCTCAGCCAAGAGTGCCCTGAGGCAGCTCCCTCTGTCCCCAGAGGCCTGCTCTGGTTTCTGCTATATAAACAGAGGAGGACACGCTGGCTTGGAGACAGCTTGAGTCTGCTCAGCTGGTGCACAGCCTTGGCCGGGCAGGGAGGGCTGACTGGTCAGTCACGTCTTTTCCCTCAGGGCTCCCTGAGACTGCTGGGAAGAGCCCCCAACCAGCCCCAGGATTCTCTCTCAGTGCAGCTGTCCAGGATCTCTGAGTCAAAGGAGATCGTGAGGAGGAAACTGGTGAGTCTTAGGAATAGGGAAACTGAGGCACAAGAGCTGGGCTGTTTGGATCTTTTTCCATTGTGACAATCTGTATTATGGTGTCTTTGGCCTTGAGAGGAGCGGGAGAGGAGGAGGAAGCAAGGGTGGCTGACTCTCCTGAGGAATGAGAGTATCGGTTTGACTGTATGGTGGGAGTTGGGAGTTGGATTAGAGAATACTTTGTGATTGAGAACCAGGAGACGTGATGCCATCTCTCCTTCCTAGGAGATTTCCAACAGAGTCTCAAGCCTCCTCGTCTGTCGACCCAGCCTGGATGAGGCACTGGTCTGCTCAGGCTGGGGAGGGGCACTGAAATGAGCCATGTGTCCATCAGGGTACCTCAACGTTGGTCCCTGAGTAGGGAGGGTCCTTGGGCCCCCCAGCTGGTTGGGACTAGGAGGCAGACCCCTAGGCTTGACTTCCTTGAGCCCTCAGCCTCTGCCCTGATCTCCTTGCCTGGCTCCCCAGATGGTTTGGTGCCTGAGAAACAGAGCTGGAGCGAGGTCTGGCAAGCCTGTCAACCAGCTTGCCACAAACATGCTCCCCAGGCCAGGGGCTTCTGCCCAGCATGGAATAAGTGGCAGCTCCTTACGTGGGAGGCTCTTGTGCTGTCCTTCTCAGTTCTCGAAAAAAAAAAATTTTTTTTTCCCTTTCTGAACGTGAGTCTTTAAACGAATCCAGAGCTTGTGACTAAAAATACTTTAACAATAGGAAAATGCATCAGTCTTTCCGGCTGGGGCTTGTTATCAGAGGGTTTTTATTTTGGAATTTGAGATTTTGCCCAAGGAGGCTGGGTGGAGACCTTGGGCAGGGGCAGGAGAATTTCATGGGTGTTGATGTTCTGCAAGGTGGTGGGAGACCCTCCCGAGGGTGGAGGCAAGGGGTGCTTGTGCTGGCCAGGAGCTGAGCACAGGGAGGGGCATGGAAGGAGATCTGAGGAGCGCACAAATGAGGTGTGGGCCGACCTTTCCCAAAGGCACGCCATGATCTTGTCTGCATTTCCAGCTCTGGCTGTTCTTCGGGAAGTCTGATCTGTAATAATTTCTTGATGCTGTGTGTTAATTCCTTCTGGCCTGAGAGAGGAGTTGGGGTTGAGAAATCAATGGACTGAAGATGGCCGCTGTGGAGAGAGGCCTGACCTTAATTGACCAGCTTTTTTCAGAGTATTAATTGAGCACTTGATGCATACAGAGTCTGGAATTTTCTGGTGCTGGGTGGAGCCACATCTCTGGGCTCACTTTAACTGAACTGTGGAGGGGGCGCGGTGGAGATGGGGTTACTATTTTTCTCTAGTTCTTGAAGAAGGAGGGTGTTGGCTCCCCAGTTGAGGTGAGGACCCTGGTGTCTCCTTTCCCTGCCTGCCCCAGGATCCTGCTGCAGGCCCCTAGAGTTCCGGCCCCCAGACAGGGCTGCATTTCATTGTTGAACTGCCACTTTCTGTTAGTGGATTGAATCCTCATAGCACCGGGACTTGTGATGCTGCTTGCATCGGGGCAGATGAGGAAACAGTCTCGGAGAGGGCAAGAGACGGGCTGCAGGCCGCATACCAGGCTTGCTGGGCACAGATACCTCTGAGCGTTCCTCCATCTTTTGCCCCTGCCAGGGGCTGGAGTGAGAGGTGGGGGGTGGTGGCTGACCTGCCTGTGTCCTTGGGGTCCTGTTTTTGGAGAGATAACAATACGTGTGGTCATGGCAGGGCCTGGACTAAGGGCCAGGAGATCAGAGCTGGTGGCCTGGACCTCACCCTACATCCCCGGTTTCCAGAGCTGTCCATGGGAAGCCCCTTGGGGCAGTAGGCATGTGTCCCTGCCCCCAGTACAAATCCCCCTGCCCACTGCCAGGGCAGGAAGCGGAAGTGCCGGGTCAGGGCAGGCGGTAAGTCCTGGGGCTGAGGAGGGGAAGCTCCCGGGGCCACTTCTCAAAGAGAGGAGGCAAAGCACACTCCATCTGCCCACCCCACGGGAAGGGCGTGGAGGCCTGTGGGTGGAGATGGTCTTGGTGAAAGCAGGGCCCTCCTGCCCTACTTTCCATCCTGCCCTCTGCTGAGCAGTGGAGGGGGCCAGTCTGGGGGACAGCGTGGGAAAGAGGCTGTGCAGTTCCACTTCCTCCATCCTCTACTCACACAACTCCACGCCCTCCCTCTTGGCTAGGGAACGACGGTGGACATTGGCTGCCCATTAAGGGCGGCCCTGGGCTGCTTACTGTTAAGGATGCATGCAGGGTCCCCTGCCAAGGTCGGGGAGACAGGGCCTTGCCCTCATGTTCACACATTGGCAGGAGAGGCATGAGGCTACACACATGATAAGTCCCTGTAAGATGTGACTAGGAGGGGCAAGGGGCTAGTGAGTGGTTCAGAAATCATACTGTGTGGACAGAAAACACACTGTATGAGGATTCCTTTCTAATGTCAGATATCACGGCCTCTCCTAACTATAGTTGGGCTTTGAGTATGTATCCACAGAACAAATACATAATGAGAAACAGCGACTATTTCTGTGATTTCAGGAACACACACTTGCATGATCTACTCAGTAAATTCCAGTGGCATCTGCGCCCATGTGCATCAATATACCTCTTCCATTTAGGCGTGACTATTTTTTAAATAAACTTATTTTTAAAAAGAATAACTTATAGACAAAAAGTGTACAAATGATAGGTGTGAAATCTTAAGAGTAGAGTTTGATGACTCTTCCAGAGTGAACACACCTGGATGGCCATCGAGCAGATTAGGAACTGGAGTGCTTCCAGTCCCTCCAAAGACTCCCTTGTGGGAACTGCTGTTTTCAATTTATAGGCTGTGTGTGTGTGTGTACCTGATTCTGTGGTGCCCTTAGAAGAATCAAGGTCCACAAGGCTAGAAGCCACAGCCTCTGGAGTTCAGAGTCAAGGGTCCATGGGTCTAACACAAAACTGAGAGTTCGGGGACCTGAGTTTGAGTCTTGCTCCCGAACCTCTGTCTCTTCATTTATAAAATGTGGGTCAGAATTCCAAACCTGGAAGGCTTGGGAGAGGGTTAAGTGGAAGAATCCTTGTGAAATCCCCTGTGCCGATCGATTGATGTTCCCCACGCCCCCAAGCCCAGTGAGGAGGTGTTTATTATTAAGTTAGGCTGGTCCAGGGCAGGTGGCACATGAGCTGAGGTCTTGGAGGACTAGCAGGTTTAGAGTAGAAGGAAGAGGAGGAGTGTGCCCAGGGGGTGATGGGAAGGTTTAGCCCAGGGTCCTTATATGGGGGCAGTGGGGAGGGGCGTGGTGATGAGGGCAGATTGGTGGGCCGGGCCTGCTGTGAGAAACTGATGTGGGTGGCTGTCTCGTCTCCAACATAACATCTTCCATCCCTACCCTTCCTGTGTTATCATGGCCCTGCCTTACCTTCTGGTCCTCGCCTCTAGTTTTGTATACTTCTTCTCTCCTGTCATCACCTGCTTCATCATTACCTCCCCACCAAGCTGCTGTTTTGCTCTTGAAGGCTGAACTTGGCCTGGGAGTCTCTGTACAGCCTGGGTCCAACTCTAGGCCTCCCAAAGTCTGCATCAAATATGCCTTACCCCACATTTCCACCTTAGCCTGATGCTACCCACCTCAGAACCCCAGCTGACCCTCCCTGGAAGGCATCTTGCCAGCAGGGATGAGGCCAAGGGTCCTCAAGCCCCTCTCTCCTTTCTCCCCTCTGTCTTAGGCTAGGTGCTCCACACAGGTACCTGAATGGGTGGTCCTGACTGCGCTCCCACAGAGCGACTCTGCCTTTTTCCTCCTTATTTTCAGAGCATAGTGTGTTCAGACCTCCCAGCATCCCCCACTTCCACAAGCATGGCCAAGTGGCAGCTGCAGTTGCCTCACCCCTTCCTCTGCCTTTGGGGCAGCAAGACTGCAGCCTCCAAACCTGCAACACTGGGAGGAGGTGGGGCTTGGGCTGCAGGCACAGCTCTGGAAGCTAGTGCTAAGATGCAGAGATTTAGGCCAGAGCCCTGGACAGCTCCTCCCACACTTGAGTTCCCTGGGGCTCCTGGGTGGGCCTCCCCATGGAAGGGTAGGGATGGTCTATACTGTTTTTTTTTTTACAAATGGAAAGTGGTGGGGAGGAAAGGTGAGTGCCAGAGCTCAAGGCTGCCCTAGCTCTCAAAGAACTGTTAAGGCTGGGCTTGAGCACACACTGGTTGAGCCATAGCTAATACACTTATTTGGCTGGTGAGGGATGGAGAAAAGAATATTGACCTGGCAAATCATTTTTTGCTGATGTATTAAAATTATTTTTATTTTTTGAGGTAGGCCCTGTTGGGCGGAGGAAGGCATCCCAGGGCTGGGTTGGGGGCTGGGTGTGAAGCCTAGTTTCACCAGCCCAGACTTGCTATGTGCACCTGAGCAGGATGCAGCTCCTCTGGGAGCCCTTGGATCCTAATCTGCAAAATGGGAGGACATGAATTATATTAGTGGCTCAAGCTTTTTTTCCCCCCAGCTGTGGTATCCTTTTTTCCCAAGGACAATCTTATACAACAGCCCAAGACAAAGAAAAACAAAACTTTGGCTGAAGTGAGGTGGAGATCCAGAATGGGTCCCATTGGCATTATCCTGCCCATGAGTCACCTTTACCCAGGTGGCCTCGAAGGGTCTCTGGAAGATGGTTTGGGCAAAGCCAGAGCTCTCTGAAGACTAGCCCACGTCGAGATTGTATGCTGTGACGGGGGAGCTCTGGCAGGCCCTTTCTGGATCACTGAATGACATTGGTGGTACCTGAAGACTGCTCCGTCTGGGGTGGACAGTGGGGTTTGGAAAGGGGAGACAAGCTGGTTAAGGGGCAGTTTTCTTAATGAGTATGGAAAAGGAAAAGGAGAGGTCTCTGGTCTCACTCAGCTGGTCTGCTGCCTTCAGGCACCACTGAGGCTGGGCTGTGGCTGGCAGTAGGAACAGGGGATCCAAGATATGTTCCAAAATAGTATTTCAGGAAAAAAATGAAAAGTATGTGGGGCATCAGGAGCAGAGATGGGGTGACAGACAGGGAGTGCAAAGATGACAAGCACTGTCTGGAATGGGTGAAGTTTGAGGTGCTGTCTGGACCTTTGAGTGGGCAGAAGTGGGGCTGGAGACAGGGTGTGGGGAACCTGAGACAGGAGGTGAGAGTAAAGCAAGGAGCAGGATGTGCCTCAAGGGTAGAGGGAAGTCTGTAGGGTGACCAGATGAGGTGAGAGTCGGGCCTGTGAGTGCAGGCTCAATGGAAGCAGAAACTCTTCATGTTGACTTGCAGGGGAGAAGGGGGCTGGGTGGGACCCCAGTGTGTGTGTATGTGTAGAGGGGGAGCTCTCCTTGTAAAAACTAGCCCTTTCTTCTGCTCTTACCTAGCAGGTGAGGGCTCCCCAGCTTGGGGCAGAATGGGGTGGAGGAATGATAGCCAGACCAGGGAAGGCTCCAGGTGGCTGCAGCCTGGTCTGTGTCCTGGCAGGCCCTTTCTGCTCCATAGGGCAAGACAGAGCTACTGTTTCCATGTGTTGGAGGTGAGGTAGGTGTGGGTACTCCCTGATCAGGGATGGGGGAGGGCGAGAAAAGATCCCCAAGAGATGCAGTTAGTGGCCCTGGGTTCCACCCCAGTGGGGCACCACCTCCCTGTGTGACCTTGAGCAAGTGCCATTATTTCTCTGAGCCTGTTTATTTATAAAATGGGGAAGAATCTACACAAATTAAAAAAGATTTCTCAGGCCCCACCCGGTTCTAAAATTCGGTAATTTCCCACTAGAGTTCACTCAGTCTGGAAGGGACTGAGAGGGGACTGGTGAGAAATGAAGTTCAGCGGGTGGAGTAGAGCCCATTGGCCCATCTTGGGCTTGACAAACCCCTGCCCTCCGGAAGGTATTTTGCATGGGAAATTGCGGGGAGGGAATAAGGCTCTGACTGACATCCCTAGGGCAACTTCTCAACCCGAGGTCCCTGCTGGGGAGACCCTGTTGGGGAAGACTGGTCAAGTGCACAGGGTGTGCCTTAGGCTGAGGTAGGGGCGCAGGTTCCTCAGGTGTGCGCCTGATTGCCCGCCCCAGCCCTGGCCTGCCCTGGCCACCCAGGCCTCCAGGAAGGACTTGGGAGGGTGCAAAGGCAGAGCGGGCCAAGGGAGCCGGAGGGAGCGGGCGCGGTCGTGGATCCCGGGAGCAGCTGGAGGCTGAGGGGATCCTCCTCGGGGAAGCCCTGCGGCCGCAGCTCTAGAGCGCCCTCTCCTCGGGCTCTCGCCCTCTGGGGCGGTTATTTCGGACCTGGGGGCCCAGGGCCGGATCCTGGGTCCGGTCTGGGGTAGCCTCGGGAGTCCACGACCTGCTATTTTTAGCAGGCCCGGCGGGCGCGAGGAAACTATTTATAGATCAAACAGTCCGTGCTCCCTGCGTCAATGGAACCCCGCGTGCGTCACGCGCAGACATTCCAGCCCCCCCTCTCGCTCCGCCCCCTCGGGCTCCCCAGCCCGCGCCGCCTCCCGCCGGAACCGCGCCGCCCCCCTCGCCCTTGTATGGCCAGGGCTCGCCGGCCGTGCGTCAGAGGCGCCCCCGCCCCTCCCTGTGCGTCACGGAGCGCTTAAGAGGAGGGTCGGTTCGGCCCGGGAGCCCCAGTGACGGAGGCTGCGAAAGTTGGGGGAGTGTGCAGGACTGCGGGAGCGCACTCGAGATCAGGCTGCGACTCGCGGCGCTGGTCCCGGGCAGGGGGAGCAGAAGCCGGCCGGGTAGGTACCCCCACGGAGAGCGTGCAGCTCAGCAGAGCTCTCTGTTTTGGTTTTTAGGGGTGTTGCATGAAGGAATTAGGTGTATGCGTGGGTAAAAAGGATGTTGTAGAGTCAGCATGCAGGAGGTCGGGTATAGGGTGCAGCTCTGGCGTTGTGGGGGAGCAGTTGGAACAGGGTGAGGACCCAGATCGGACTGGAGTCTATTTGGTGCGGGGGTAGAGGGGAGTGTCTGTGCAAGGTAGAAGCCTCAGGAGGTTAAGGGTTGGCGCCAGGAGACGGGACTTGTCCAGTAGGAGGCTGGCTGTAGTTCAGTCTCCCAGGATGCCCAACTGGGCACACGGTGCCCTGTACTGAGGTGCTGATGGCGGTTCTCAGTACAGTGGGGGGGAAGGTATACAGAGCTTCGGCTGCTGGGATCCATGGGACTCATACTGGGATTGGATTTCCAAAAGGGTCTCCTTCCTCCCAGCTTGACAGCCTCCTCCCCATGCCCCTAGTTGTGTTCTTAATACTTTAGAGGCTGTGACTTAGTTTGCAGGGATCCTGAGCCTGAAAGTCCTGCCTGAACTATCTTAGGAGACCTCTGGGTTGCCCAAGGAAATGGCCAGCATTGGTGGCTGAACTGTGGAGCCGGTGTTTCTGCATGTTGGAGTAAAGGAGTCTTCTTGGGACAGGAACAGGGTCTCTGGAAGCACAGGGAAGATTGTTTTAGCTGTAGCTTAAATCGTGTGTGTGTGTGTGTGTGTGTGTGTGTGTGTGTGTGTGTGTGTGTGTGTGTGTGTGTGAGAGAGAGAGAGAGAGAGAGAGAGAGAGAGAGAGGGGGAGAGGGAGAGATGGAAACTCTGGTCTTTGGGGATCTTGGATAGCAGTTGCTGATGTTGGAGTCTCTGGTGTGGCACTACCTGGAGGATACCCACCCCTCTGCCCCCATAGTCCCGGTTGGATCATACAGGTAGTGTGCAGCCTGAGGCGGGTATAGCATAACAGGTGCAAACCACATTGTTGCCAGGACCTGCCTAAAGCCGGATTCTCCCCCTCCCTCCTACCCCGCCTCTTCCTCCTCCCTGTGGGACTCCTCTGCCACCCCCACCGCCATGTGGGTCCATATCTTGTGTCATTAAGTACCTGCATGGGGGTGGGGGGACTAGTTGGTAGGGGTTCATCTGGCTGTGGGACGTCCAAGTGGAGAAACAGGATTTGAATAAGGCTGGAATGCCCAGCCCTGCGTGGCCGCTGCCTCTCCACCACAAACCCATCCCTGTCCAGGCTCTCCTAGAGTAGGCCAACGTGGCCACCCTTATCTCTCGCAGGTGCTGTGGGCCTGTGGACAGGCGCCACTGGGTGGGTGGGGCCAGAGCTTGGAGGGACTCTGATGTCTGGGTTGATTGTGGGAGTGTCAGGCCAGGGGTAGTGCTACCCTGTCCAGGGCCCATGGAGGTGGGAGAAAGGCTAGAACCAGAGGACTCTCTCGGTTCTTGGTCAGGAGGTGGTGCCAGCCCTTGCCCCCTCCCACTGCCCCCCTTGATTATGGCGCTTTGTTCCAGCTTGCTTTCTTACCCAGTCTCCCTCCCTGACTGGTGAGGCCAGAGCTGTGCAGACCCTAGGCATGGAGGTGGGATGGGAAACTGTCCTGGAGCCTCGTCTCTGTTAATTTATGACGAGTCTGGGAACTTAAGGATCCCCCCTGAATGACGCCACCTGTGCTTCTTCAGGCTTCTCAGGATTGGGGGTGTAACCCCCTTTGCCTGAGCTCCTGGCTTTTTTTGCGGAGGGACCCAGGCAAGGGGAGGATGTCTTCCACCCCCTACCTCCCACCCCCCACCAACAGGCTCCTTCTTGCTGCATAGCCACCTCAAGTCTCTTGCTGGACTCTGAGAGTTCTCTTATAAAAGTAACAGAAAATATTTTGTGGGTAGCAGAGAAATTCCTCTTCGGGACTGTCCATTCTCCTGGATGTCCAAGGGGCTGTCCCCTCCTTCCTCTTGCCTCCCCGTGGCCTCTCTCCAGCATATGGCCTTTAAAGGCCTGGAGCCAGGTTACCCAATCCACCAGGGAGCTGGGGACAGGGCGAGGAGGTTTGGGCTTCCTTCCTCTTGTTTCTGGGAGCATCCCAGGCAGGGCAGAGTGGGTGCCCATCCCCAGATGGCAGGACCAGAGTGCATGTGGGATCTGCAGCCTTTGCTCAGTATGTAGGGTAGGAGCGGGGATGGGAGACAGGCTCATTGCTGCTTTCTTAGGCAGTGGGGCCTGCACTCCCAGCTCCTCTTCCATTTGCAGGATGTCCTTCTTCCCAGGCACTGTGAGGGGAGGAAGGGGCTTTTGCAGAGGCTAGGCCATGCCTGGGAATATTCCCAGAAGTGCCAGGTTGCAGAAACAGCATATTTGCTCCTGGGGACTGGGCTAAGGCTGAGCCTGGCTATCTCTCCCACCCACCCTTCTCCCAGCCCCCACCCACGCCTTACCGGGTGAGGGAGGGCAGGGGGCTGGAGGAACACAGCTTCCCCCTGTTTCAGCAGAGCAATGCTGGCTCGATGCCTTTCCTAAGGTTCCCAGGCTGACTGGGTGTGGCAGGCCTTCCGACTGAGCCTACTCTCTGGGCCATTGCCCAGGGGCTTTGTGACAAGGAGGTTGCGATGGGCCAGAATTCCTGGCTGCTTTGGTGGGCCATGGCCTTAACGCCTCAGAATCCTACGTCTGTCTGGGGTTCCTGCCACCTGGCTGCTCTGGGGGCGCCTATGCTTAGAGATCAGGCTTCAGACTTCTCTCACTGACTCCCCGCTGCCCCCTTGGTCTCCTCCCTCTCTAGAGATGCCCTGTATCCAAGCCCAATATGGGACACCAGCACCGAGCCCAGGACCCCGTGACCACCTAGCAAGTGACCCCCTGACCCCTGAGCTCAGCAAGCCAACCATGGACCTGGCCAGCCCCGAGGCGGTTCCCACTGCCCCCACTGCCTTACCCAGCTTCAGCACCTTCATGGACGGCTACACCGGGGAGTTTGACACCTTCCTGTACCAGCTGCCGGGGACAACCCAGCCATGCTCCTCCGCCTCGTCCTCAGCCTCGTCCACCTCATCGTCCTCAGCCACCTCCCCTGCCTCTGCTTCCTTCAAGTTTGAGGACTTCCAGGTGTATGGCTGCTACCCTGGCACCCTGAGCGGCCCACTAGATGAGACCCTGTCTTCCAGCGGCTCTGACTACTATGGCAGTCCCTGCTCAGCCCCATCACCACCCACGCCCGGCCTCCAGCCGCCTCAGCTCTCTCCCTGGGACGGCTCCTTCGGCCCCTTTTCACCCAGCCAGACTTATGAAGGCCTGCGCGCATGGACAGAGCAGCTGCCCAAGGCTCCTGGGCCCCCTCAGCCGCAGGCCTTCTTTTCCTTCAGCCCTCCCACCGGCCCCAGCCCCAGGCTGGCCCAGAGCCCCCTAAAGCTGTTCCCCTCTCAGGCCACCCACCAGCTGGGAGAGGGAGAGAGCTATCCCATGCCAACGGCTTTCCCAGGACTGGTGCCCACTTCCCCACACCTTGATGGCCCGGGGATGCTGGATATGCCTGTGACCTCAGCCAAGTCCCGGAATGGGGCTCCAGGTGGAAGCGAGGGCCGCTGTGCTGTGTGTGGGGACAACGCTTCATGCCAGCATTATGGCGTCCGCACCTGCGAGGGCTGCAAAGGTTTCTTCAAGGTACTGGGCTGCCCTGGGTGTGGCTTTTCCTGAGAAGTGGGGACAGGCTGGTCTCTCACCCCAGTGGGGTCTGTGGTAGCCTCCCTTAAGTTCTCCTCCCAACTAGTCTTGCCCTTCAGGAAGGGGCAGTCCTGCCAGGTGGGTCCGCAGGAGATGGCAGGGGGCTGGTACCTTTCATCTACTGGGGAAGACAGGGCCAGTGAGACTGCAGTGAGATGGAGAGAGGGGTGAGATACGGGCAGAGAGGGCAGGCTGCCGAGGAGCCAGGAGGGGACGTTCTAATGGCCAGCCCCTGGCTTTCCTCTGCCCATGTGTCCCCTACTCAGGTCTTGGTGAGAAGGGGGCCCCCAAGCACTCACGTTCCTGGCATGAGATGAAAGGACCTGGGAAGAAGGCTTGGTGCTTGAGGGCTTGGGGTGGACTTGGGAACAGGCTGTCTGTCTCAGATCTGGGTGCCCGCTTAGCTTCCCGTCTCCACCCCCTGCCCCTCTTCAGCCCTCTCTTGTCTGCCCCAAGGAAGAGGCAGGCAGACGCAGGCACATTAAGGAGTACAGGTGTCGGGGCTGCCAGAGAGCCCCTAGCCCCTAATCTGGTGTCCTGGGCGGGGGGATCTTCCTCCTGAGGCAGAAAGCTCCCCCAATGTCACTAAGACTTTTTCTTCCTGCCCCCAATCCCTCCATCCCCCCCTCCCCTGCCACCCAAATGTTAGAAAAATAGCTGTGAACAGAGAGCGCTTTTGTCTGTGATGGCAGCAGGATCTGGACGGTCCCCTCCCCGGGCTCCCCTCCTCCCCACACTCTGACAGCTTGTTCCGTGTTGTCCCCCACTCCAGCGCACAGTGCAGAAAAACGCCAAGTACATCTGCCTGGCTAACAAGGACTGCCCTGTAGACAAGAGGCGACGAAACCGCTGCCAGTTCTGCCGTTTCCAGAAGTGCCTGGCTGTGGGCATGGTGAAGGAAGGTGGGTGGCTGGGAAGGGGCGGGTGGCACAGAGGCAGGCCTGGTGGGTGGGGGCAGGCAGAGCCCCCCCAGACATCTGTCTTGGTAGGTCCCCGGGTAGGACAGACCTGGACTTTATTTCTACCTCACCTCTGGTCCACCTGCCTTGCTTATAGGGGAGTGGTCCCTGTAGGGTTTCTTGGGTCTTGGGGGCTCGAGGTCCTTGGACTCGGGGTGTTTCCCAGCATTGGTGTGCACAGCTTGAGCTGAGAGGCCCTTTCCTGGATCCCTTCCTCCTGTCCTCACCACTGCTCATTTCTCTGCAGTTGTCCGGACAGACAGCCTGAAGGGGCGAAGGGGACGGCTCCCTTCAAAGCCCAAACAACCCCCGGATGCCTCCCCTGCCAATCTCCTCACCTCCCTGGTCCGGGCACACCTGGACTCAGGGCCCAGCACAGCCAAACTGGACTACTCCAAGGTGAGCCCCATCCACCCCACATCCAGTGCCTTCATGCACCTTAGAAAAGGCCCCTCCCGAACTGGACAAGTTGAAAAAAGAGAAGCCCCGTGTGGGCTGACCACATGGAACAATGGAGCCCCTTAGGCAGGTGGCCAGTTAGAAAAATGTGCTCCTTCCAGCAATCTCCACCCTGAGTGAATCTTCGAGAATTGTCAGGCATGAGGTGGGCGGAATCCCAGTTCCTCTCTCACCCCTGGGATCTGGCATCCAGTGCGTGACCGGGCTGTACACGGTGGCCCTACATGTGGTGCTGACTTCACCGGAACATACCCCCTAGTTCCAGGAACTGGTGCTGCCCCACTTTGGGAAGGAGGATGCCGGGGACGTGCAGCAGTTCTACGACCTACTCTCAGGGTCCCTGGAGGTTATCCGCAAGTGGGCGGAGAAGATCCCCGGCTTCACTGAGCTATGCGCAGGCGACCAGGACCTGCTGCTCGAGTCGGCCTTCTTGGAGCTTTTCATTCTCCGCCTGGCCTACCGGTGAGCTGCCTACTGTCCACGGCCCGTTTTCCGCACTGCCTTGCCTTCCAGCCCCCTGACCGCCATCTGCATCCCTGTCCGCTAGGTCTAAACCAGCCGAGGGGAAGCTCATCTTCTGCTCCGGCCTTGTGCTGCATCATCTGCAGTGTGCCCGAGGCTTCGGCAACTGGATTGACAGCATTGTGGCCTTCTCGCGGTCCCTGCACAGCTTGGTTGTTGACGTCCCTGCCTTCGCCTGCCTCTCAGCGCTCGTCCTCATCACAGGTGTGTGGCCAGTCCCTGGAGGTTGGGGAGGGCTTGAGGGCCCTTGGGTGGGCTGGCATCTGATACTTCCTGGGCTCCTACATTGTGAAGTGAGGGCGACTAGATGCAGAGAGGGGCGCGCATTTGCTCAGAGCAACACCACTGGTAGGCAGCAGAGCCAGGGTTCGGGCCCAGCTGCACCTGACTGCAAAGCCCAAGCCAGTCAGTGAATGATCCCAGACGATCCAAGATCCAGACCGTGTAGGTGTCGTGTGGCCTAGGGTTGTGGTTTGTTTTTAAAGTCTTACTGAATTATGTTGCATACGGCAAAGTTCACAAATGGTCAGTTTTCACACACTAAGCACATTCAACATAACCAGCACTTGGATCAAGACTCAGACATAACTAGTCCCCCAGAAACCCTCCTTGTGCCCCTTCTAGTCGTCGGCTCCCCCAAGGGTAACTGCCACCCTGACTTCCGACAGCACAGGTTACCTGTGCCTGTTGTGTGCTTTACGTAAACATAATTATACAGGATGAGTTTGGGGTGTTAAAAATGGAGGTTTTTAGGTCTCTCTGTTTCATTTTTTAAAGCACTGAAATCTGCCCCATTTTTACCTAAATTTCACAGGGACCAGCTATATAGGACAGAATTTGAGGCTCTCTGGGCTAAAGAGGGAGTGGTGGGTTTTGAAGCCAGCGTTCCCCGAAAGTGGCCTCTAGGACACTGCTGCTCAACTCCAGGGCTTCTTGGAGCAGCCTGAAAAAACACACTGGCCTCGTCAGAAAACCTGGCTAGGGTTCTCTTCCTTTCTTGTCTCCTTGGACAAGTCATTTAACCTCTCTGTGCTTCCGTGTCTCATGGGCAACATGAGGATAATAAGCATTCCTGCCTTCCAAGACTTCTTTTGGGGCTCGGAAATGGACCTGTGTGTGTGTGTCTGTTAACATGCTTTTGCAAAGTTCCAGAGGAGCATGAGGGGACTGTCAGTGGCCGCAGTGTTGGAGGCCTGAGGCAGGCTGGGTCTTCAGGGGGTCCAGTCAGATGGGTGGCTAATCCTGTACCACCCTCACAGACCGGCACGGGCTGCAGGAGCCACAGCGGGTGGAGGAACTGCAGAACCGTATCGCCAGCTGCCTGAAGGAACACGTCTCAGCTGTGGCGGGCGAGCCCCAGCCGGCCAGCTGCCTGTCACGCCTGCTGGGCAAGCTGCCTGAGTTGCGGACCCTGTGCACCCAGGGCCTACAGCGTATCTTCTACCTCAAGCTGGAGGACTTGGTGCCCCCTCCTCCCATCGTCGACAAGATCTTTATGGAGACGCTGCCCTTCTGACCCCAGCCCGGGAACACGCGTGCACTGTATATGTACGCTCCTACGTCACCCCACGTGCCTTGAGCCCATGGCCCTCGGTCCCCTGGAGCACCATTGCCCCCCTCCCTGGGCTGGAGCTATAGACTGGTGGGCCTCCCCACTTGCTCTGGGAGGTCATGCCCTGGGATAGGAGGATACATCCATGGCGGGGACCCCTACTATTTGTCTTACCCCCTATCCTGGCCTTCATGTTTTTTT